AGTGCCCAGGAAGCCAGGATTTTCGATTTTTAAGCTATTTCAGCATGTATAACTTGAAAACAAGCCTAGACTCTGATACCACTGTTGGGTTTTGAGCATTCTAACACTCCTAAGGTGTTCATGCAACCCTAAATACCTTGGATCTATGTTTTCACTAATTATACATGCAATGGTGTTTCCAAGGTATTAAACCTATAGCTAGCATACAATTATCATATACCACAGATGAATCTAGTTAAGATAACATACCTTATGGTGGAGATTGAAGTCTTGATGTATCTAGCCTTAAGAGCTTAGCCCCAATAGTGTGGAAGCCTCAAGTGGAATCACAACACATCATGGACAAAGGAGGAACTTGAGAGAGAATCTCCATGCACCCAAAACCACCATGAACTCCAAGAATACACTTGTTTTTTTTTATATTTTGGGCAATGAAGTATGTATTTATATGTGGGATTTCTAGGGTCATGGATATAACCCAAATCCATACCCATGGGTCTTATGATACATGGTTCATGTGGCCCAACTCTTTATGTATTCATACATAAACTTGGTCCAACATGGATCATAAGCCCAACACACATAAATATAACTAATTAACATAATTAGTCCCCATAGATTTAATTAGTCTCTTTTTGATCACTAAATCAATTCTAAATTAATTCTTGATCAATACTAGTTAAAACCATATGATTTCATATTAATATATTAGTACTTATAATATATTAATAAATCATATACAACCTTCTCTCAAGAGTCCATCCTAACAAATTGTCCTGATGATATGCAACCCAAATGGACCATGCTACTCTCGGGTCAAGTACATACCAATAATAGTTATGGGCTTAGACATCTAATCTAACACTTTCAACAATGTACCATCCACTACGAGGAAATCCCTTAACCCATATTTGAATCCCAACTTCAATGCACCTAGAAAACCATATATCCTTCTAATAGGTTCTTGTGGTACTAGACAAGCATGCTTCAGGATACACATCTATCCTAACTGTTGTACCAGGATTAGTGTTTAGAAATTCCAAAACATAATCCCTCATATACCCATATTGTAGTTGGTAGTCCCCACTAATGATACGTCTAACCAGTTTCTTTGCCCTAGCAACCTTTTGAGTTGACATTATGAGCTCCAGTTTTTTACATAACCCCTCTTGTAAATATTTGATTGGAATTATAGGGTTACTCTGAATTGGTTGAACATTTATGTTTGCTAAATATTTGGAAGTGCAAGCTTTAACTGCTCTAAACATTTATAGTCATCCTGTACTGATCACCATCCAATTCTGATCGTCATTGGGCCTCAAGATTTGAACTGCCCAAGGACATATTCCTTTTTTGGTAATAAAATTTTGCCCTTGCACTTTACCTTACTTCTAGTTGATGGCCCATTACATTCAGTAAATTGCCCCACAACACCTCCACATTTCACCCTTATCATGATTTTATCATTTTTTGCTAAGTAAAGGGACCTCCTTGTTTGTACAGCATGTGAATGCATGTAATTTTTAACTTCCTTCTTTGTTTTGAAACTCTCACCCACCCTAAATGGTTTTAAATAAATCTCCCCATGTGAGCATGTAGTTGACCTAATCAACTCCTTGAGCATTCTCTTCCTTTCATCGTCATGAAATCCTACAAACTGATAATCATCGCTATGAATAACTTCGAACTCTTTATCAACTATGTCATTTACTGTAGTTTTGGTAGGCTTGTTTAAAATTCGATGTTCATCTACATCCACAACACTATGGAATTCACTCATGTCTACATCCACTTCCAATTGTATGTTAGACTCATCTAAATTGTAGTCACTGTTATCAAAATCTTTCCACTGCTATCAGAACCATCTCCACTCTCACTATCGAAAGCATCTCCGCTATCATCACTCAACATGCCCTCTAAAATATCCACTCCTACTTGAGTGTCTTCACCATTTGGTACAATGTTCTTAGCATCATACTCAGTAAAAACTAAATAATTCTCTATAAATGGTTCAAATTCATCAACTCTTACACTTTGGACTCCACCATCAGATTCACAACTTGGTTCCTCTACATCTTGGAAGTTGCAATCAACATGGTAATTGTACTGTGGTTCTTCAGATTCAACTACATGATTGACTAAATTATCTTTAGACACTTCTTCTATGTGGCCCATGGTTACTCCTTCATTCACATCGATGACATTAATTTGTTGGCTAACTTGTGACATTACATATGGGACAATAGTCTTGTAATGATCATGCCCTTCATCCATATCTATTATATGTGACTGGTCAACAACATAGTTGACAGGGTGGTTTAAATTAAGTTTTCTATTACATGATCCTACTTCTCTTGTACAATGTTTTTTCTATTTAATTATGGTAACACACTCTTAGGTTCCAATTCCTCAATAATAAATTTGGAAGGAGACTTAAAGTAAGTAGGTAACCTAGTCTGACCATTTTTAATATACACCTTTATAAGCTTGTGTTTAGGGACATACACAACCAAATTAAGTACGTTTTGGTCAGTACCTAAAGGCAATAAGCCATAGTCTAAGGGGTATTCAGGGATATAAAAATGGCAGTAAAGGGTCTGTTCAGTTTTGTACCATAATTCTCGAACCATGTCATCAAGTTCATGGACAGAAAATAAATTAGTGTCAACGTCATCTACATATGACACAGTACCGTCGATGTATTTTCTTCTAGGTGGTTTCGTGAAGATACCATAGTGTACCTTCAACGTGAAATAGTTGTCATATCCTTCTGTAAACACAAAAATAGATAGGGTAAAGACGCTGATTTATCTTCATGAACACATTCAAGGGAAACAAAAACTGATTTTTTTGAAAAATCATATTGTATCTCGATTGCAAGTCCTTCAAGATCAGATTTTTTTTCATGCAAACACATATTGAGAGAACCATTGTCGTTTACTTCTACGTAAACCCTAAAACCCAATTGCGTATGTTGTATTCAAATGGTTTGATGAAGATGAAGTCAGTGTTTTCTTGGGAGAGGAATGGGTTTGAGAGTTGACGTGAAGAAGACACAGTGACATAATGATTTCCCTCATTAAAGAAGAGGTCACAAGTGAAAGGACGAAAGTTCCCTTCCATTATTTTAATAGAATAAGACTTAATGGTAGAAAGCTGACAGAGTGAGGCTTAAAGACTAAACATCAAAAGTTTTGAAAGCACAAAGACCATCTATGAAATTTTTGATACTTAGGGACTAAAATTCAGATATGGAGAAAACATAGTCATAAAAAATGATGTTTTTTTTTTCTTTCTTTTTTCATTTTCAAACCATATTTTGTTTTGGTAAAATCTCTCAATAAAAGAATTCCTCTTAATAATATACACTTTTCTTTTTACTGTTAAATGGTTTTAAAACTCCTAAACTTTACAAATTTTTTTCGGGGTTAATAGTAATTTCATAGTTCTGACCTTCGAATTTATATTTACATTTTTCGTGGATGAAAATTGCATTCCTTAAAAAGACATCATTTTTATACTATATATAATTCCTTTTGCTGTGTAAAAACGACTTAAGCAGATTTATATCATAAAAAACTTTAAAAACATTTTTTTTTGACAAAAAAACCCATGATTTTCGCTGATGAATAGTAATTGTGTAGTTAGACGTACATGTAAAGTTATTATTCAATTGCGATTTTTAATTTTTTCCTTAAAATGACATTTTGTGCATTTTGCAAGTCCAAAAGGTAATTTCGCAGGTGAGACCTCTGAATTAATGGTTATTTTTGGAGACCCCTAATGTTTTACTTAAATTTTAGAAAAATCTTATGTGTTGTGACAACATAAATCTTTCTTGATTTTGGTGTTTTCTATTATTGTTGCAAATATAGTCTTAAATTATAAAAATGAACGTAGAATTCCATGTACCCTTACATTTCTTATAGTTGACCCAGCTTGTCATTCGTTTCGAAACAATCCAAGAGATTAGTTTGTTGTCTTAAATTTTGTATAGGAACCTCGCTTGATTATCTACAACATGTAACTGATTATGATGCATATCACATGTAAATAAGGATGATTATCAAAGATACGATAAATTTGGGTTAAACAAGAAACATGGAAGTTAGTTGTTTCCTTAAATTTGTATAAGAACCTCATATTTATTGGTTGATTTATTTGCAACATGTAACCTATTATGATGAAGTTTATGGGTAAATAAGGACGACTATCACGACATGAAAAGTTTGGAGTAACGCGACTTCAGTTGTAGCATGTATCTCTCTTGCTTCTTCATAAAAGACTGTTTGTAGCTGATAATGTTATTTTGTTGTTGTAAATTACTTTGGCGTCAAACTCATTATAAATTTAATGATACATGTTTATTATGTCGAGGCATAATTTTTAGCAATCAAGTTTAGTATATACATTATATACACATCGGATTCATTAATCAAGTTTGATTCTCTTTGAATGTTAGCATTTTGTGTCATGGTAATGTAGCATTCATCGAAAAGAATATATATATATATATATATGTATAATTCAAACCGGAAAAGAAAAACGATAAACGTAAACACAACTGTTTTGTTGACACATTCATATTTTTTAAGAATATATTTAATATTCATTGGATTATTAAAATCATTTTTAGTTTGCATTGTTTGATGGAAATGTTTTGTAAAATGAAATCCCCTAATCTAATAAAACAGTACAATAACGCCACATGGCAACTCCTCCATCTATCCTCAACATTTTTTCCCGCCCAAACTTTCTAAGTGAAGTTCCAAAAATGCCCTCCAAGCCTTGAAAACTCGGCATGCTGATTAAGAGGCGTTTGAAATATTTTAAACCACAAATCAGGGATTCTTTTCAAGAATTAATAATGCAAATTTGAAAATCCTATCTTCTCTCAAATTCAAGGTTACGTAGAAAAATGGAGACTATTGAACTTTTCAAAATCATGCCAAGAAATTAGGTTTCATATTACCGATTTTTGTGATTTCAATGAGCAATCGATAATCAACCAATATTAGGGTTCGATTTCGGGTTCAAGAAAGATTTAATCAACCATAGGATCGATTGAAAGATGGTGTCTACATCGCTCCCCTTGGAAATTCATTTTTTTCCACCATCTCTATATCCACCGTTGGGTGTGGTTCATTTGGCGGTGACGATAAGCAAGATGGTCGGAGGTAATCACATATCTGTCTAATCACACAAACATTTTCATCAGAAACAACTGTTTTACACACTCAATTCGAGTAAGTTCAGGGCAAATTGATTTTGGGTTGTGCTATAAGTACCCCCTTAACTATATTTACCCCCCCTAAAATCAATCAAATCAAAATTTTGACATGTGATTTGATATCATTTTTTTTCTTTTGTTGTTTTTTGTCTTTTGTGTTTTTTTCCTATGTTGTTTTTTTTGTTGTTTTTAATTCTTTTTTCATTTAAATTATTATTTATTATTATTATTATTATTATTATTATAAATTTCGCACAAAATTTTAAAATTCGGACGACATTATAAATTCGAACGACTATATAAAATCGGTTTTTAAATATTTTTTATATTGAATATTAATATTATTATTGTTATTATTATTATAAATTTCAAACAACATATTAGAAATCGGACATTATAAATTCGAACGACTATATAAAATCGGACAAATTTTGTTTCGATTTTATATAGCAGTTCGAATTTATAATGTCCGATTTATACAAGGTTGTTCGAAATTTATAATAATAATAACAATAATAATATTAATATGAAAATATAAAAAATATTTAAAAACCGATTTTATATAGCCGTTCGAATTTATAATGTCTCCCGAATTTTAAAATTTTGTGCGAAATTTATAACAACAATAATAATAATATTAAAATATAATAATAATAATAATAATAATAATAATAATAATAAATTAAAAAAGAATTAAAAACAACAAAAAAACAAAATAGGAAAAAAAAAACAACAAAAGACAAAAAATCAAATCATGGGGGGTGAGATTGGAAAAGGAGGGGAGTACTTATAGAAACCCCATGATTTTCTCCCTTTCTGGCTTCTACCTAGCTTTTTTAGGTCTTTAAACCATCTCTTTTGTTGGGCAAATCAAAGTCAACAGGTATGTAAAAAAGTTGGGCAAATCCTACTATAATATATTTATGTTTATGATATATAATTTCTTACCAACTAAGCTTAAAAAAATAAGATAGGGAGCTAGCCTACCGATTACTTAGGATACTTAATAGTCTTTGAAGTCATTTATGATGTATTTTTAAAGAACGTTTTTCCTTCTTTTAGTAAACAAAATGTGAATGAGTAGAGAAAAATAGAGGGTATCCATAGTAATTTGTTTTTTTTTGGTTTAAGGAACAAAAGCCTCAAGAGGCAAGCTATATCAAGATTCAAGAGGTATTATTGTTTTTTTTAATCTTTTTAATACAAGGGTAGGCAAAAGATAATGATTTCTATTTTTTCTGTTCGTATGTAAAGGTTGTGGCTTCATTCCTTTCGATCATTTAGAATCTAAGTTTTGGGGTTCTGATTTTATATGATCTAAGATGTAATTTTGATGAAATTATGTGTTTGTTTTGAACAAAACCTCAACAATATTTCAGTTTTGATGATTGTTATTTGATTCTAGTGTTTCAAATAAGAAGGGTGATAAAGAAATGATGAGGGAGATTCAAGAAATTGTGAGATATATGGTATGACCTATGACAAATTGCATCAAGCAATAACGAAATCATGAGATATTATTTGGTGTGGTTGTCAGGTTTACACCCTGAATACAAAAGAGCTTTTAAAATTTGTAACCAAGCAAACATTTGGTTCATTTTCTTTTAGCTTTTTATTGTGTATTGACTATCAACAAGTAATAAATTGTAGCGGTGACTGCAGGAGGGTCAAATGTTGTATATAAGTCGAATGTGCCATATTAGAAAGTCTAATTAGGTATGAAATAATGAAACCTAATGTTTATTTATATAATGGCCCACATGTTGCTTTCAATCATATTTTGCTTGGTTGTTGCAAACGACAGGAGGGCGACTGCAAGTTGCGATAATGTCAGCTTTTTTACATGAAATTTATAGGCTAACTCTCACCTTCTGAAGCTAAAGGTGAAAACTTTGACTCCATATCCTCTTTTTGACATTATTCACAATTTTGTTGATTTATTTCAGATGAAGTGGCGAAAAAAGAGTCCAAGATGAATATCCAGGTAGGTGGTTGTGGTTATCAATGTTAATGTCGTGGTGGTGAAGATTGATGATTGGATCAAGAACAACTCTAAATCTCTAATTTTGGTTTTGGTTTGTTTTACTATCTGGTCTGGACAATAAGGAATTATTATTTTTAGTTCAAGGGTTTAATTATGATTCTTGAACGACAGTGGCAAAATGGTTATTTTTTAAAAGTTAACAGATAAGATGTGAAAGTCGACCATCCAAGGACCAGAAATGTTATATAATATCAAAATAAGGATGTGTGAAAAATATTTTGGAAGGCCGTGTTTATGAAAAAACAATGACATTATGAATGAACAATTTTTAAAGGATCTTCCAGCATTATAATGACTTTACAAACGTCTTCCAAGAATAAAACACCGAAACTATTGGCTAACCACCAAAATGCATTTTGTATTATCAACATTCCTATTTGGACCTTACACATAATCGATTTTTGATCATGTCAAAGACTTCGTTATATCAAGTGTTTTTGTAAAATGTCCATTCTACGGAAATTCATGTGTAAATGTAGGGGAATACATGCATTGTTAGATTTATGCAGTTTCAGATTTGAGTGCAATTAAGTGGATTGAAAAATATTATGTAGTGGGGTTATAAGTTAATAATGAATATAATGTGTTAACATTTTGATTGATGCATAGTCTAATATACTTGCATATTTTGAAGAATCTACCTAATTAATACATTTTTTACTAGAACAATAAAGTTTACCCCTTTATATAAATGGAAAGCGTTTTAAATTTGCAGGGCCAGTACTGAGAATTCAAATGTCTTGGACGAGTCGGAAAAAATGCCCTTTTGCATGAACGTATAACAAATTAAATTACATAAAATATTTTTTTTAAAACGACGATAAACTTTATAGCAATAAACATAGCAAAATCATAGTATTTTAAAGGACGATAAACTATATATATATATATATATATATATATATATATATATATATATATATATTGTAATATTCGACCTATCTTTTATCTTTTATGTATGATGTATCTATTAAATTATTATAGCTTTTAATAGTCATTCATAGAAATTGTATTTTAGGTTTTTAATTTAATATAATTTTAAAAAATAAAAGTTTCCATCAGCTTTTCTCTTTATTTTCTTTCCTCATAGAACATGTCTGAATATAACCAAATACACATGGCACCATTATGAACATAAAGAAATGGAAATAATTAAAGAAAGAGAAACGAGACTAAAAAGAGAGAAACGAGAGGAGAAAAATAATACAAGAAGACCGGAGAGGCTAACAGATTATCGGAGAGGACCTTCGAACGACGGAGAAAAAAGAGCAAGACGCCGGAAAATAAGCACAGCAGTGGTCCGGCGAGCAGCGATAGAGATCAATGGTGGAGATGCAGGGTGGCAATGTGATACCGGTTAGATTTGGAAGTTTTCCGGCGTCGAAATTTCTAGGGCTCCATTGTTTTCTTAAACCCAAATCTTTGAGTTAAAAGAATTTTATGTCTGATTATATTTTTATTTGGTTTTATGGAGAGTTTGTTAGCTTAATTAATTTCCTAATGTAATACAATTTCTTTCGATTTTGTTAATGATTCTTTTTATTTGATGAGTGAAATTCGGATGACCCAATATAGATTCTCGTCTATGTTGCATTTATTTTAGGCCAAAACTGAATATAGTATATAAAAAAAATAATTTGAGCCCCTGAAAAGAAAATGCCTTGTGCACATGAACATGTTGCACACCCTCGTCACCGCCTTGTGAATTTGGATGATTTTAGAGGAAAACTATTAATATTAAAGAGAACTGTCAAAACTTTTCATATTTTTACAACAAAACACAAGCTTTGTTTGTAAAAGGGTTATTGTTAACATGATTTTTTTCCCTATTTGGCAAATGTGACCTCACATCTTTTGTTATAATACAAACATGAATATCATAGGAAACGAGTTACAATAAACATTTTTACGATATTAGAGATTAACTAATTGAAGATAATATTAGTAAGTGTCAACATTGATTTTGAAAAATGAATTATTCAAATTGTCTTTAAGTTGCTAAAACTTAATTTATTATGTAAAAATATAAAAAACACACAAATTATATGTTTTTTTATTAGCTATCCTAAGTTGCTAGTTATTTGTACATTTATATTTTTGTTTCAAATTTGGTCATTTTTTTACAAATCTTTCCTAAAATTATTTTCTTTTACAAAAATTTGAACTTTTTAGACTTTTTACACAAACTTCTTTGTAAATTAATAATTTTTCTATTTATATTTGATTAATCATTACGATTTCAAATGATAAACAGTTTTTTTTCTTTCTTAACCGTGGTTTCCACGGGTTTACACGTAATGTGTTTTATATTTAAGTTTTACAGAATAATAAAAACCAATAATTTATTAGATTAATGCATATTATTACACGCAATTAATGAAACACAAAAAGCCCAAAAGTATATCATGTTTTTTTCACCGCATAAAAGAATTAAGAATGTTACATTGACATTGCATTTCGTGTGAGGCAAACTAGGAACATCCTGCGAGGTCAATATGGTAATTTCGGATTGTCTAACCTAAATGGTTCCCCCTATACTATTAAACCCTCTCCTTCCAAAAGCATGTAGCGATTTAGGGCTTGTACCCTCGCCGCCATGGATATAAGCTTCAAGAAATTTCTGGTCATTCTTCCGTGCAAATACTCTTGTCTGCTTGCAAGCAACTGAATCAGCTTCTGCATTGCATTTCTCTTGACCTTTTAAAAAAAAATTATCCATTCTCTGCAAATCATATAATGGAAGTCGCTGATTATTGAAGATGGAGGTTGGAATCGGTGATTTTGCGGTTGATTTCGATATGTATTTATTGTTTTCGATGGATTTAGTTCGTGAAATATCGGCGATGGTTTTTCCGAGTCAGTCTGAAGTCTTTCAGCCGCGATTTCCCTGTTTAAAAGGTATGACTTTTTTTATGTATTTTATTTTTGCTTTTTTCTTATCTGTGGAAATAATTGTTATGTGTATGCTTGTGACTTTGAAGTTAGGGTTTATAATTTATATTAAGATTTGAGATTTCTCGACCTTCGGTAAGTACTTGCCTTAAATAGTATAGTGAAAAATATTAAAGTCATATTCTATGTTAGGCTTAGAATTTGTTTTTTTATCGAACAAAGGTAATAGAGCCATAATATGAAGCGATTGTTGACTATTGAGATAAACTTCAAGGAAAACAAGAATCAAAGTCAAAAAGAAACGCATGACTTAAAAAAATGAGTCATAGAATTTAATTAGGGAAATTATTAGAGACAACTTCTATTGCTTGCATAAATATGTTAGAATTAGAATTTGTTTTGTTTACAAAATAAAAGTAGTAGAATAATAGTGTTATAGTGATAGTTGATTAACTAAATGGTTAAGAACAATTTGTAAACGAAAAAGTGATGCCTACATATACATTCTAACTAAAAACTTTCGGGTATTAATAAATAATAAAAGACTTAAAATTAGCTGCAAAAACATAACTACCTAGACCAATAGAGCAAACTAGAAAAAAAAATGTTACAAAGCAATCAAACAAAAACATAAAAAGAATTATAATGTTATCATTTACAAAAGCAACCAAGAACACAAAATTAAGAGCTGAAAAAAACTAAAAACTGACTGCATGATCACTATTAGAAAACGTGATTTTCCCTGTTATATCTTAAACCAACCGCATAATATCCAGAAAAAAAGTCACTACAGAAAACATGATTTCCCCGTTACATCCTTCCTTGTTGCCATCTCTATGTGTATGTATGTGTATTACTACACAAAACTAGGGTAACAGAGGCGTATTACAAGAAATGTTGGCATAGTGGTGGCACTATTAGCGACGACAACCACTATTAACGACGACGCCAAACATGCTAGTTTGGTGTCATCGTTAATAGTGGTTGTTGCCGCTAATGGCGTTGCCACTATTGCCTACATCAAAGTGATCCGTGTGAACTCTCATCTTGTAACCCTAATCATTGATAGGTGGGGCAATTGCCAAACTTAGGTTAATTATTGCTCTTATGTTTAAATACGTATGTGCTAGGCCGACTTTGATTTGTATCGTAAAGTTCACTTTAATTTTGGATTTATGTCAATTATATTTTGACTAACATTTGTGTCCTATGACATTCTCCCTTCTTAGAAGCACTAGTAAAATAAGAAAATAGTTTGATTTCCTCACCAAGAAAGGAGCCAGATTAAGAAAAGAAGACAATGGATACTTTTTGTGCTTAGCAGTGGCGACTAATGACGTTGGTTATGTTGGTTATGTCAGACGACTCTTAGAGTACGGGATGGTAACCGACTCACGAAACAAAGACAACAAAATCCCACTTCACATTGTTGGAAGACGAGGTTGTCTTGCAATGGTGAGGTTGCTCAAGAAGAATGAAGCCTTATGACGGAATGACAAGTATGCTATTCATTAGATATTTTTGACTTTTTTTGGGTTAAATTTAAAGGTAAAACATTAATATGGTATGCACTAAATTTGAATATGCTTACAACTGGGGTGTTATGAAGCGGGTTTATTTTGCAATGAGGACGTCATCAATGAAATTGAGTCTAACAAGTTAACATCCACAAACAATAAGGTTGGTGACAGAGTCCAAGTAGATGAGGTTGTTGAGAAAGTCAAAGCGGATTAGGTCTAGATAAGGCAATAGAAAATGACACCGTAGCACAACAAAGTTCCGACTTGTCCTGGATTGGTCATTGAAGCTATTTTTTTACGTAATAGACCATTAAAGTTAAGGTTTACCTGTCAATAACTCCCTTATGCGACTTATACAGGAAGAACCGGTTATTTTGATGATGTGACAATATAAATTAGATTTCTATATATTTTTTAAAGAGAAAATTGCAAATTAGCTAAATATCTTAATTACAATGTCATCCAGGGTATACAAATATACAATTATTGAGAAAATTACAAATTTAGCCAAATACACTAATTACTTTACAAATTTAGCCAAAAAAAAAAAATCAAAATTGCAATTATAACCATTGAAATCGCAGATGGAAATGACCCATCTGTGATTTTGCCCTTCCATCTGCGAAGGTACAAACGCCTAAAGCACAGTTGTGCTTTACGCACTTGTACTTTTGCAGATGCAATAGTCCATTTGCAATTTTGCCTGTTCCACCTGCGATTTTCGGTTGAAAAAACTATAAAACTGTTTTTTTTCTTCATTTTTCACTCTTCAACTTTAGAAAAACTCTCTCTCGTCGATTCCCTCTGACGATTTCTTGAAGAAAATGGACGTTTTTTAAACAATCCCGAAAATATGGTTAGAATTTAACTCTTTTTATGTTTTAATTAACATTTATTTAGTATATGTTTTTATTATTTTATTATTTTATTATTTATTGTATTAGTTAGTGTAAAAAAATGAAATTATATTGTTTCTGGTTGGGTACTTTTGTTGTATTTGATAGATTTAATATTATTTATTAGTAACCTTGAAATTTTAATGCTATTTTGTTAGTGGTTGTATGAATGTATAAGTATAGACTGCGTAGAATGTGCATTGGCTTGTTGTACATTTAGTAAAATGGTTAGAATATGTTATTTTTTTAAGTTCAAAGTTAAATAAATTGTTACAATAATGTTTACAATATGTTTGGTTAGTAGTTTAAGTTGAGAAATTGATATAGCATGGTTACAATATGTTATTTGTCGTTTGTATAGTTGTTGTATAACTTGAAAAATTGTATATACTTTTCGTATAAGTGGTCGTATAACTTGAAAAATGGTTATAATAATGTTTACAATATGTTTACAATAGTCGTTTGTATATTTATCGTATAACTTGAAAATTTGTATATACTTGTCGTTTAAGTTGAAAAATTGTTATAGTATGGTTAGAATATGTTATTTTTTTTAATTTGAAAGTTAAAAATCGTTTGTATACTTGTCGTATAATTTGAAAAATTGTATATACTTGTCGTTTAAGTTGAAAAATTGTTATAGTATGTTATTGTTTTTCAGTGTAAATATAGAAATTATTGATTGAATGTTGGTTTTTGCATTGTTTATGTTTGTAATTTGAATGTTGGATTATTATTGCATCCCCAGTACGGGACCATTTTAGGAGACGACGAATCTTTGTCTAATATGCCGTCTAGTGGTCGTTCTCACGGTAGAGGTGGGCGTAGTGGGAAACCCAGCTTAGAAGAGGTGTTGAAACGACTACATGCACTGGACCAACAAGTGTTTATAAACCGAGAACCTACTGAGGTGTTTGTTGAAAAAGTGAATAATGAAGATCTATGGAATAACATCAGTTTTGAGGAGCCTGCAGTATTCCAAACAAATTTAGGTCAACCGGTTAGTTACACGCTACATTTTTTATATAATTTATTAACATATTTGAAAATTTTTGTTCATATTTTATAGTTGAAAATGTAGGTTGTAGAAGATGAAAGGATGAATAAAAATAATACAAATGAAAATGTTTTTGGTGATATTGAAGACGACACGGTTATTATATATATATATATATATATATATATATATATATATATATATATATTATAGTTACAATTTTAATAATTAAATTTTAAGGTGTCTTTCGTTAATAACTATAATGTGTTAATTTTAATGTAGGAGTTGGAGGAGAGGAATGAAAATGCGGGTTGCAGTAGGAACAAATTTGATGATGATGTGTTTGATTTAAATGATGATAATAAAGCTAAAGAGGTTGTTATACTTACATTTATTTTATTTTTTTAGTAGATTGAAACATTTTTTAATTAGAGATTATTGCTTATTAATTTAGGTGTCGGAGGAAGATGATTTAATAATTACGGGAAATGTAAATTGTTATGATGATTATGGTTTTGATGATAAAGAAGTTACACCCGATAGACCGAGGGCTCGAAATCCATCAAAGTATTTGTGCCCTTCTTATACCGAGGTATTCGTTTAATTTAAAAGCTTATATCGTAATAATAGAATTTTATTTTTATGTGAATTATTTGAAAGATAGAGATTTAAACATTTGAATATTGTTTTAGTTGTAAACGACTTCTCCGTGTTGCGCCTGCAAAGTTGTGATCCAGAATTATTTATTTCATTCATATAACGTGGAACATCGTTTGTATAATTTGGTGTTAGATAGAGATTTTTGGAGCGCCTTGTTTGGGCATACACACGACGGATGGTTGGAGGCAGCGGTAAAATAATTTTTGATTTTTTATTTTAAAAGTTTTTTGTTTTTTAGTTAATAACAAAAGTATCATAATTTTGTGCAGCATATGACCATTTGATGTAAACTACTGATGGAGAGACGTTTTGATAGCGACCAGCATACAATAATGCCTCCAAATTTTTTTGCTTGCCATGTTCTGGAGGATGGGTACGATCGAAGGGCGTTTATGTCTGGTATTGCTACATTCCTCAACTTCATGGTTGTTTGGTAGGATGTCGATACGGTAAACTGAATTTTATTTCTTGAAATTTTTTTCGTTATTGTCGTTATGTTTTTGTATTCTGATATGTAAACATAATTTTTTTTACCTTATACAGGTCCTAATGCCGATTCATTCATTCCCTAATCACTGGTTATTTGGGGAACTACGATTGGTGTCAATGGAAGTCCATCTTTATGACAGTCTCGGTAGAAGGGATTATGAAAAATTCAACTCTGATGGAACCTTTACCAAATTTGAAGCTCGGGTGGCAAATTATTTAGACAAGATTGACTATTGGGCCCGGAGGAACATCCCAAGGATTCCATTGAATATGCAATTCATTTTCGAAGCAAATGTTCCCCAACAAAGTAGTCAGTTAGGAGATTGCGGTGTTTTGCCAACGTGAACTTATTGACCCAAGGAACGCAGCTCTAGAGTTTTGCAAACGGATGACAAAAATTTATTGGGGGTCGAGTCTTGGCCCTATGTAGTTGGATTATATATTTGTATATGTAATTGAATGTTGGATTTGATTATTAACCGTTTAATGTTACAACTACAACCGAGTACACCATTAGTCTATTTTTAGTTTTAACGTTACAAATACAAAAGTTTAAACATAACAACAATTAAAACAATTTAATGACCTATTAATAACTTCAATACTTACAACATAACAATGACACCACTATTTGTTTTAACGTTACAAGTACACTGCTCTAAACATAACAACAAATACAACAATTTATTGACGTAACAACTTCAAAACTATCAAAACAATATTAAAAAGCTTACAACTTGTAAACAATAATTGCCAAAAACAACACCCAAGTACAAACTAATGCTATCTTTAACTTCTTATTTTCTAATTGAAAGTGCTTATTAGAGTTAGCTACTTTAGCTATTACCATAGATGATTGGTCTTTCTCTTCATCAACCCAACTGATAAACCAGCATTTTGGTCCCTGTAAATTTAAACAATCATGAGGGTGTAAATATGAATGAAGTTAAGAACATGATACCATATAGGGGCAAGCGTAAAATAATCTTCCTGGGTTTTTAGCTGTACCAGAAATCCTAATGATACGTTCACCTCCGCAATTACAGTATCCCATTCGACTTATTTATTCTATCAAATATGACTTACTTTCACAGATAAATTTCATGGAGTGACTTTACACCTATTTATAGAAGAAATTTTATTACAGACAATTATGTTTGACTATGAAATGAACTGGTTTGACTATGAATTTAAGAAGTTGAACTATGAACTTCAGACAAGTACATTGTCTTGTCTTGTCTTGTCGGTCAGTGATGTTTGACTATGAATTGAACTGGTTTGACTATGAATTTAAAAAGTTGAACTATGAAGTATGAACTGTAGAGAAACACCAATTTGTATATAATTATAATTGGATTCGTGTGATGATTGTAAAACACTTTCATTGCTTGTGAAAATGAGTACTTACACCGAAAGAAGCTTTTCTCAGCTACGAATATTCTTGCATAATCTTCAAAGAACAAATCCTAATACCTTCACAGCCATCAAGAAAACAGATACCAACCGCTTTCAATTCTGTTTTGTGGCTTTAGGTTGCGTGGTATAACATATTTGGTTTATTGAGTTAATTAATATTTCTCGGCATGTCCATGCCCATGCCTATGCATATGCCTATGCCTTTGTCTATGTTTATGCCTATGCCTATTCCCATTCCCATGCCCATGCCCGTGCACATGTCGACGCCCATGCCCATGCCGATGCCCATGCCCATGCCTATGCCTATGCCTATGTCTATGCCTATGCCTATGCCTATGCACATGCCTATGCCTATGCCTATGCACATGCCTATGCCTATGCCTATGCACATGCCTCTGCCTATGCCGATGCCCATGCCCATTCCCATGCTCATGCCATGTCCATGCCCATGCCTATGCCCATGACCATGCCCATGCCTATGCCTATGCCTATGCCTATGCCTATGATTATGCCTGTGCCTATCCCTATGCCTATGCCTATGCTATGCCTATGCCTACCCCTCTTCCTCTGCATATGTCTATGCGTATGCCTATGCCTATGCGTATGCCTATGCCTATGCTTATGCATATGCCCATGCCCATGCCCATACCCATGCCCATGCATATGCCTATGTCTATGCCTATGCCTATGCCTATGCCTATGCCTATGCCCATGCCCATGCCCATGCCAATGCCCATGTCCATGCCCATGCCTATGCCTATGTCTGTGCCTATGCCTATGCCTATGCCCATGTCCATGCCCATGCCCATGTCCATGCCCATGCCCGTGGCTATGCCCATGTCCTTTCTTATGCCCATGCCAATGCCCTTGCCCATGCCCATGTCCATGCCTATGCCTATGCTTATGCCTATGCCTATGCCCATGCCTATGCATATGCCTATGCCTATGCCTATCCCTATGCCTATGCCTATCCCTATGCCTATGCTTATGCCTATGCCCATGCCCATGCCCATCCCCATGCAAATGCCCATGCCCATGCTCATGTACACACCCATGGCCATGCCTATGCCTATACCAATGCTTAAGCCTATGCCTATGCCTATTCCTATCTTTATGCCCATGCCCATGCTCTTTCCCATGCCCATGCCCACACCCATGCACATGCCTATGCCTATGCCTATGCCTATGCCCATGCCTATGCCTATGTCCATGTCCATGCCCATGCCCATGCCCATGCCTATGCCTATACATATGCCTATGCCCATGCGCATCCCCATGCCTATGCATATGCCTATGCGTATGGCCATGCCCATGCCCATGCCTATGCATATGCCGATGCCGATGCCCATTCCCATGCCAATACCTACGCCTATGCCTATACTTATACTTATGCCTCTGCCTATGCCATTTCCCTTGCCCATGCCCATGCCCATGCCCATGTCCATGCCCATGCCCATGCGCATGCGCATGACCATGCCCATGCCCATGCGCATGCGCATGACCATGCCCATGCCCATTCCTATGCTTATGCCGATGCCTATGGCTATGCATATACCAATGCCTATTCTCATGCCCATGCCCATGCCCATGCCCATGCCTATGCCTATGCCTATGCCTATGCCCATGCCCATGCCTATGCCTATACCTATGCCTATGCCAATGCATATGCATATGCCTATGCCTATGCCTATGCCTATCCCCATGCAAATGCCCATGCCTATGCCCATGCCCATGCCCATGCCCATGCACATGCCAATAGCCATGCCTATGCCTATTCCAATGCTTAAGCCTATGCCTATGCCTATTCCTATCCTTATGCCCATGCCCATGCCTATACCTATGCCTATGCCTATGCCTATGCCTAAGTCCATGTCCATACCCATGCTTATGTGTGACATCCCCATTTTCACAGCCAGAAAAGACCGATTTTGTTTATGCTTTATAAAAATCAGAGTACCCTTTTTAATAAAAGTGTTGCGGAATTTGTTCCCAGAAAAAAAATGATAAATACGTTATCAAAGCATTTCCTAAGAAATATATTTTATTCATTTTAAAACATTTGGGATGTCATCGTCAATACAGAAACATAAGCATAAACAGAACTTACATTTATTTACACTAGTGATCTACATCTCTTTAATCTCTCAATGTAATGTAACTTCATATCGACACCTGTGATACAAATAAGCTTGAGTGGGTCAGGTTGGGAAACCTGGTGAGTACATAGGGTTTTCAACCCACAATAATATAATTATTACGTTAAACATCAAACAATCAAACCAATTACTCATCCCCATTATCTTATTTACTCTTAAGGATCTACCCTAAGAATTAGCTATTCCTCGTTCATTCATTCCTAAGGATTATCCTAAGGAATAGGCACGAAATCCATCGTTGCCAGGGTTTACTCAACATGCACTAAATCCATAGTTGCCAAGGTTTGCTCATCAGGCACTAAATCCATAGCTGCCAGGGTTATCTCGTTTATCGACAGTATCGTTTCCGAGAATCCACTCGCAATACATGTCAATGGGTTTTTATCTCGTTTATCGACAATATCGTTTCCAAGAATCCACTCGCAATACATGTCAATGGGTTTTTAGAGTACAGCTGGTGAATACACAGTTCAAATAACACCTACAGGTTGCGAGCCTGCTAGTGTTCCACTGGACTGTCTAGAATAGTCTGTGGTTGTCATCCATACTTTGCTAGATGACGGGGCCAACACTTGCGTAAAAGGCTTCTCTCATGGTACGCCTCTCACCCTTATCTCATGGTCTATATCACCTCTCATCGTTTTGTTTTTGTCACACAACAACTATTTCATCTACCCATGTTTTACCCAACACATTTTGTAGATATAAAATACATATATAGTTTAAATCATTTAAAACATGTATAAAAATCTTTCACCCAGCATAGAATGCAGACAATATGCACACGTAGCATGTAATTTATATTAAATACTTCATATCTATGTGTAAGATGAAAGTAACTATGCACTCACCTGATAAGGTGGTGACTCGGTACTCGGACAGCGCTTCGTTTACTTAAAACAGCTTCTTTCGACAAAACCTAGTATCATTACCACTAGAGTTTAGTCTAAGGTTCGACGAGAGTAATTAATAGTCTAGCTATTATTACTATTATATAAGCGTTAAACAATACTCTTCACCTACTATGTACAGACAGGGGCCAGACATAAAACACCGGAGGGCAGGACCATTTTGGCATATAGCACTTCTGAAATCCAACAACCCTATGCGGCCCTTTAAACCAGATTCCCCGTACCGCGAGTAGTTAAAAAGATATTATAACGACACTTATATAACCCATAATAATAGCTCAAATAATTATTATAAGGTCCTAATAACATTACTATATTGAAACATAAGTTATACTAAAGATAGGGTAGGCATAACTCACTTACATCGGGTTTTCTCGAAAACCGGGCTTCGCTGGAGCAGTGTTCCCGAGCCGAAAGGCTCTTCTTCTCGGAGCCGTCCGGCGCTTCGGGCTTCCGCCTCATGCTAGGGGGATTCCCTAGGCTTTTTAGGGGGTTTAGGGAGTTAGAGAGAGGTTCTAGAGAGAGAAAGAAGGGTTTGAAGGTGTGAGGAATGAGCTTCACCCGACACCTCTATTTATAGGGGGCTGGAGGCCATTTCACGTCGTGAAACATAAATTCACGTCGTGACCCGCTGGAGACAGCCAGGCACAGCCTGGTGCTGACACGTGGCATCGCACATAGGGTGGAAATTAGCTGATTTTCAAAAACTCATAACTTTCGCATACGAGCTCCGTTTTCGACGTTATTTTTTCCACGCGTAGGTAAAAACAAGATCTACAACTTTCATTTAGAATCAGTCGGCTAATTCTCGACCGATCTTAAATTTAACAGTAGGAGGAGATTAGACTGTTAAATGACCGCGAAGAATTCGTAACTCCTTCATACGGACTCCGTTTTCGTCTGTCTTTTTATCGTTGAGTTCCTATTAATGAGATCTTCAACTCTCATTTAGGCCGCGTAGGCCAAACGCCGCTCGAACTAAAATTCGAGTTTCGGGCCTTGCACTGCTATGCCAAATCTTAGAAAAATTATA